TGTGATTTTGTATTGGAAATGTTGTATTTTTAGATATTGATTGATATAAAATGGCTTGGAATATATATATATATTAAGATGAACTTTTCTGAAATTTTAAACTGGCTGTTTGTTCAGTGTTTAGTTGTCAATGTGTTTTTGTAGAGTGTGGTTTTCTAGTTCTTTCAGCTGGTCATTGACTTGCGATTTTGATTGCTAGTTCTGTATATAATTTATTTAGATATATATGAATGTTTATGCATGTTGCTTAAGAGTAACATAATTTCGAGTGATGAAGACAATAACAATCAAAACCAAGGCATTTACAAATAGACACGACTCTGGAGGTGTGCCTAGATTGGCAGAAGTTATAAAATACAGATAATGCATTTTTGTAAACATTGTATAGGAACATTGTTTAGCAAAACAAATCTTGCATATTGCAGATTAACAAAGCATAAAACACGTATTAACAACTGATATTTCAATATTGAATTTCAGTGTACAATATATGCATAATAAAACGAACATGAATTAATGACAGTTGATCGGAACTGAAATACACATAGTTAATTTTCCGGCATTTGATGTCTTATCTTGAGACGAGAAAAGTCTGTAATTCTTTATCTCATTTAAGCCAATATGTTGCTGTATCTCAGCCGCATCATAAAGCAACCAATCAGAATCTATATGTGATAAGTAATTATTTCAAGATATGTATCAACTGAAACTAATAGCTCCACACCTTGATGCGAAGCAATAACATGTCTGGAAACTAATTACGGTGACAAATCTTCCGCTGGAAAAATTTTCACTGAGGAAGAAATAAACCGTTACATATTCAGATGTTAATTTTAATTAAATGCCTTTTGTGAGAATCCAACTCTGGACTTTGTCAAGCAAGCCTTAGGCATTACTACAAGCTATAGCAACCACCCTTTTCTTCCGAAAAACAGACGCATAAACAAAAACATATAACACAAATTGAAACGGATACATTGACACAGCCTGATAACCAGTTTATAATAAATTCAAGCACTAAACGGCTCTTTTAGTAGGTTGTTTCATTTCTTAATGATTTCATACTAAACTATCTTTGTTACACCACAGTTCTTTGCATTTGCCTAACATTAAAACTGGACATGCTTTTAATTCTTCGTAGTGATGGTAGTACAGCTTTATTATTGGATGTGTAAACAATATGAAAATATTCATTGTCCAATCAAATCTAAGTATTTTATAAACAAACTCTGCCATCTATTGTATTCAGGTGTCAATTCTACTAACACACAAAATTTGCAAGCAAGCCATTTTAAAACAAGAAATTGCACAATAGCTTAATCTTAAAAACCATGAAAACTGAACATTGACCAATGAACCATGAAAATGAGGTCAACGTCAGATGAACCCTGCCAGACAGACATGTACATCTTGGAATCATTCCATACACCAAATAAAGTGGTATTAATACTTAAAGTATTTGAGAAATCAGTCTCCTTGTCTAATAAGGGCTGTTGTCAGAACACTAAGATAAAATAAATATGTGGTATAGCAGTCTCAGCAGAACAGTACACTGTTAGTCTAACAACTTTTTTTTACATATAATAATATTTTAAATAAAATAAATAAAACGTTTTCACTTACGTAATCATTTTATTTCTTATAATTAAAAAGTAAAGACAGAGAATGTTCAATTAAATATCAGGAAAAAACAATAACTTTTTTTTAATTTTGATTCTCAACTAAAATGCACAAATTAAAAGCAATGAAAAAACAGGGTTAAATAGTACATAATTTAATTTATCAGTCGTCCTACTGTCTGTGTCACTCTTAATAGATCTTAATAAAATTGCATATCAAGGCTTTGTGACGTCAAATAAGTTGACCCGCACATATCACCGACGTCAAAATGAATGAATCGACGTTGATAAATTTGATCCGAACATCTTCCGGTTTGCTAGTGAAACAAAAAAATTATATGAGTTGCAGCAAATAATTTTGCAATTAGATTTCTCAAAACGACCATTTAATCAAATAGAACTTCTGTTCGATAAGATTGTGTGGAAGTGTAGTGTAGAGAGTCAAAAGGTAAAAAATGTCCAACAAATTAGAACCAACAACAGCAAATAATTTATTTAAAACAAAGAATTTCTTGATAGAAACGGTTAGGCTTAGAACTAGTCGAAAGCACTAAAAGATTTGTTGTAGAGCACTTAAGTACTAGAGGCAGAAATGAAAAGATATTAAACAGGTTTTTTGTGAAGTTTAGGTAACCAATACATAGTAGGGACCTTCAAATGTTCAGAGGAGGCTTTAAGCTGAGTTGTGGTAATGATATCAATATGATTGTTTACTATTTGACTCACTGTGGAGCACACTGACCTGATTTTGCTAATAAAACCCTCTAGAATTTTCTTGGATAATTCAATAATGCATAAATCGCTCTCCGGTCTGTAAACAAAAATATTCCAAGGCTACAATTCATTGGCATGTACATGTATCTGAAACACAAATCCTACTGAAAAGACTTGCTCCATGTGATCATTTTCAGAAGAAAGGGACGTTTTATGCATAGCAATAGTAAGCGCGCCAATATTTGATTGACATATTTATTTCATGAAAAGCACAATTAAGTTTCATTCATCAGCATTTTCGACCCCGATTTGGACCAACTTGAAAGCTTCAAATTCAAGAATCTAAATACAGCATATCAAAGATCCCCTTGAATTCAATTTTTGTTACATTCAAACAAAGTTTAATTTTGGACCCTTTGGACTTTAATGTAGACCAATTTGAAAACCAGTCCCAAAATCAAAAATGTAAATACAGAGTTAGATTCAGCAAATCAAAGAACCCCAAGAATTCAACCTTTGAAATATGTCATCGCCTATTAATATTACAAATCATATAAAGCCACGCCTTGCTCATTTAATCTGTCACTTCTGTCACTCTCTTCAACATGTTCATGGTTTTCTCTAATAGTTGCGGCCTGTAAATAAACACGACTGACAAATGATCCTGTCTAATTCCGGGGCAGCCATTTTACACTTATCACACACTGTGCAGTGATACGAAAAATGAGGTAATTTGATTGGCTTATCTAGCATCACGAAATATATTGCGACTTTTTCATTGGTTATTCGAAATTTCATTAATTACTTTCAAAGGTCAAAACAATGTTCATTGTCTCCATGGAAAGGGAGGTATGTGATTTCTTCGATAATATACAAATCACTCACACTTTTCACTTGAAAATCTTATTTTTGTCAAATCTTATTTCATACGATTTTTTTTTAAAGTTTGAAGTTTAAGTTTGTAACTGGAACATGATATATGACATCATACTGGTATGTGAAAAAAAATTGATCAACGATTCACGGACTTTTCTATTCAACACAAAGAGAATGTTTACAATAAGAGAAACAAGAGGTTTAACAACTCGTGAGAATTGGATATCGCTTGATATCAATTCTCGTTATTTAATTCAAATAGAAATAATAAACTTGCCAAAGGCTCGTTTATTATTAAATAACTGGATATGAGTTGATATCAAGCAATATCAAATTCTCACTCTTTACGAAACCTATAAACATTTTATTATTCGTTATTTCAATATGTATAACAAAACAAAATAAAATAAAATGATCCACGGGGCTCAGCTTGATACGACCACAGAGGTCGAACCCTGAATAGTTGGGTTAAGTATGGACACTACATTCAAACTTGATACAGCTCTGAATTTGGATTGTGATTAAATATTTGACACATTGTAGGTTTCTGACACCGAATAAATGTGGTCAAAGAACTGAAAATTTTGAAATTTGACTTTTACTTATTACGGTCCAATATCCAAAATCTAAATACACGTTTAGATTCAGCATATCATAGACCCCAAAGAATTTTAATTTTTGATAAAATCAAACAAAGTTTAATTTTGGACCCTTTGGACCTCAATGGACCAATTTGACAACAGGCCCCAAAATCAAAAATCTAAATACAAGGTTAGATTCAGCATATCAAAGAACCCCATATATTCAATTTTTGTTGAAATCGAACAAAGTTTAATTTTGGATCCCAATTTGGACCAACTTCAAAACTGGGCCCAAAATCAAAAATCTTAATCAGTGTTCTCCCCAGGATTTTTGGATAGCACCAGGGTGACGCGTGTGGACTACTTGGTAAAATGATTCGTACAATCGGTAGTGTCGCGTCGCGTCGCTTAGCTATATTTCTAGTAACTGTAGTTTTTATGTCTCCTGTTTTGTTTTAATGCTGTGGTACTGTGTTATGTAGACATTGAAAATTATTGGTAAAAAAAAAGTAAATCAATTAACAGTTTGACATGTATACTTTAATATTTTTTAAAAATAAATAAAACATGATTCATTACAAAATATTCGTCTAAATTTAAAGTTATTAAATCTTTTATAAAATTGATGATCAATAAGAATAAAATATTATTCAAAAGAGAACAAAAATGTTCAATTTAAAAAACTTTCTTATTTCTAGAATGAAAGATGTTGTATTGTGAAAGGATTCCTGTCATAAGGAGATATAAAATTAACAAGAACAAATATTGTTTTATTATTTGAACCAGTTTCTATCTTAAATTTCAATAAAAAGATATTTTTCATAAATTTCAAAACATTTTGCCATAGATTTCATGTAAATATTAACTTTTCTTGTCTTTAGTGATAATTAAACATAGATACAGACTTAATACTGCATTGAAATCTAAATCTTTATTTAATAATTTAAATCCATTTAATAAGAATTCCTAAATCTATAAATTTATCCTAGTTCTATAGATCTATTAGTAACCGTATTCAATGTCAACAACAAAGTCTCCCTATTTTCCCGCCTAAATGACAGGAAGTAGATATAAATAGATTAAACATGTGCTTATGGATAAAATTTGCAAATCACTTCTGTTATTCATTAATTATCATATGGATATTGATATCCAGTTTGAAGGTACAGTCATGCATTTTATTTATAAAATAGAATAGATTGCAGTTAATTGTAAATAATCTTGGATATTCTATGTGAACTAACTGGGTTATGTGATCCGTCCCCTTTGAATCACTTGTTGACAGATACTATGATAGTTTGAAACCGGAATATCATGCAATATAATCTATGTCAAAATTAAAGATAATTTGGCCATGGTTTAATCAGAGACATATATAATACTATTATATAAGTATTGAGAAGTGTATAATGGTCAATTATACGTAATGAGCCAACTTTATAATGTACAAAATGTGTTCCGTCGTGTGTACAACTATCGGGTCAACACGGTTTGTGTACAAAGTATTTGCCGACTTGTCAGGTGGTGAGTGAAGTATCTACGATCATAAAGTTATGATCTCTTAATTAAAACACAAAAGAATCATGTTACAAGTGTTAATTACATCGATTAAATCCAATCAACAAAGGTTAACCTCATAAAGCCATTAAAGGTTGCACTTTGTAAATACAGCTGTTTCTCAAACCACGCCTCTTTTGGGGAGATATTTAATATTCATAGGTACGTTAATTTGTTAACGTACTGGTTCCCATTGATGATCTCTGTGTTTCATCTCATAGAGACATCACTTGGGAATGTAACCAGTATAGATAAGGGTTGCACTAATGACAGGACGATTGCCCGGATAGTGACAGGACGATTGACCGGATGAGATATAAATAGTCATAACTTTTTTGTTATTCGGTAGATTTTTTTAATATTTGTAGACCTTAGAGATATAAAAATATATTTTATGAAAATAAAACAAAATAAATGAAAAATTTTTTTTTGAGCAAATAAAGTTGACCGGACGGATTTCACACTCGCCGATATACGCTATACATATATTCAACTTGTCGACAACAGGTGTTAATATCTCTTTTGTTTTACAATATTTGTCGATGAAATTAAGGAATCTGTGAGAATAATAAATATATAATACGAAAATATAAACTTTATAGTAAACAAAAATGTTTTTCTGCAAAAAAATTGACCGGACGGTATTGACATTCGCCGATGTACGCGTTGATTATATTGAACTGATCAACAAAAAGTGTTTATATTTTTTTTGTTTTACAATATTTTTACATGAAACTAAGAAATCTACGAGATCAATAAATATATGATATGAAAATATAAACTTTATAGTAAAAAACATTGTTTTTCTTCAAAAAAAGTTGACCGGACGGAACTAACATTCGCCGATATATGCTTTAAATATATTGAACTGATCGACACCAGTTTTAATATCTCTTCTTTTTTTACAATATCTGTCCATGAAATTAAGGAATCTTGGAGATTAATAAATATATTATACGAAAATTTAATCTTTATAGTAAAAAAAAAATGTTTTCTGCAAAAAAAGTTGACCGGACGGAATTAACATTCGCCGATATATGCTTTAAATATATTGAACTGATCGACACAAGTGTTAATATCTCTTCTTTTTTTTTTTATAATATCTGTCCATGAAATAAATGAATCTGTGAGATTAATAAATATATTATACGAAAATAAAAACTTTATAGTAAAAACTTTGAGCCCAAAATGTTGATTTGAGTGAGTTCACTAGAAGTACTTATATTTAATTAGATTAATCTAATTTAGACACTTGTCGTAATCACCAATCAAGCCAAATAACATGTCATTAAAGTTTTCACACCTGAGACATCAAATACATTTAATTGAATTACCTTATATAATCAGTTGGCAATTAGAATTTTTTGTTTGTAATAACGATGTAATTTTGAAATTTCCACTTCCACCTCCCCGTTGGTGAGCAGGGGGCAGAATAATTCTGGCAGACGGAAGGGGTCGGCTAATAATTTGTTGCCGCAATTTTTACTATTTGAACAAATATACAATTCCATTTGTTCTAAAGTAATATAAACTATTTACTCTAAAGTTAATATTTTCATATAATATATTTATTAAAAATATTGCAAAAAAAGAAGAGATATTAACACTTGTGTCGATCAGTTCAATATATTTAAAGCAAATATCGGTCGAATGTGAAATCCGTTCGGCCAACTTTTTTGTTGAAGAAAAACATTTTTTTTTACTATAAAGTTTGTATTTTCATATCATATATTTATTGATCTCCAAGATTCCTTAATTTCATGAAAAAATATTATAAAACAAAAAAAATATTAACACTTTTTGTCGATCAGTTGAATATATTTAAAGCATTTATCGGCGAATGTTAATTCTGTCCGGTCAAATTATTTTGAAGAAAAACAATTGTTTTTACTATAAAATTTATATTTTCATATCATATATTTATTGATCTCACATATTTCTTAGTTTCATGTAAAAATATTGTAAAACAAAAAAAATATAAACACTTTGTTTGATCAGTTCAATATAATCAACGCGTACATCGGCGAATGTCAATACCGTCCGGTCAATTTTTTTTTGCAGAAAAACATTTTTGTTTACTATAAAGTTTATATTTTCGTATTATATATTTATTATTCTCACAGATTCCTTAATTTCATCGACAAATATTGTAAAACAAAAGAGATATTAACACCTGTTGTCGACCAGTTGAATGTATGTATAGCGTATATCGGCGAGTGTGAAAACCGTCCGGTCAACTTTATTTGCTCAAAAATATTTTTTTTCATTTAACTTGTTTTATTTTCATAAAATATAGTTTAATATCTCTAAGGTCTACAAATATTAAAAAAATCTACCGAATAACAAAAAAGTTATGACTATTTATATCTCATCCGGTCAATCGTCCTGTCACTATCCGGGCAATCGTCCTGTCATTAGTGCTTCCCTATAGATAAACATGGTAGCGGCTAAATTTTAATTCTTAGGAGGTCCAAAAATGGAGGTAAGGGTAATATAGAATTTTAGTATAAGTTTAAACTCTTAGAAGTTCAGGGCATATAAATGTTGAAAATATGCCGCACAGCCCTATATTTTGACCTTTGAATAAAATAGTAGTGCATATAAACTTTCCGTTCTGGGATATTATTTTTCACGAAACTTCATAGTAAAAGTGTCACAGTTTTAGCCGCAAAGGGAGTTCCTATGGGAAATTGCATTGTCTGTATTTACAGAATTGCAACCTATATAGGGTTAAAAAATAGAACATACAGAATTTCACAAAATCTGGTTTATCTCAGAGATTTTAAAGAATTTAACTCAAATATGAAGTTTTATAAATATTTCATGAAGATTGAGAAAATCCTGGGCCTTAACTATGATGACTCAGCATAAATTCACAGTTTACAGTATGCATGGTTTACTTAAAGCCCTGAATTCAAAATAAATTCATAATATATGCCTATTTGTAATTTAAATTGTTTAGAAGTGCTTATATTTACTCTTCGCAGTAATTGCAACTCATTGATCCTTCCTAAATATTTCTGGTGGGGTGTTTTTGTCCTGTCGATAACCCAAAAGTAAGCCGTAACGCCTAAATGTGCTTTTTTGTGACTGCGGCATAAAAAAGTACAAGCTAGAATTACAAAAAGACCTCAGTAAAACTTACAATAGTGTGTTCTATCCTAAATATGTCGTAAATATTTCACATTGCTAGAAACAGGGAAAAAAATTAGGAAATGTGAGGCCCCAGGGGCAAAAAACAGAGGAAAATGCCTACCCCTGAGTCATAAAACAGATAATTTAACTTGTAAATGCTATGATTTTTTTATTTTAAAGGTCTTTTATAAAGTAAACAATAACTGTGCTAGGAAGTTATGCAAAAATCAGATGTAAGCAGTCATTTCAATCAAACTTTTAGTGAATTTATGCACCAGACTGATATCTTCATAAATACAACTTTTGCAAATATGCCTTTGTTTAAACACTTCTAGGACATATATTAACTAACTTATGTTAGATATATGGTTAGGGATGATACTGTTGTGACAAGAATTCTAAACTGACCATTTGAGGCAAAAATTGTGAACTTTCATTGACAAATAGGCATACAGTAAGATGTGGACTGGAGACACAGGCAGGATTGGATACTTTGTATAATCTTGAATGTTGGAATGCTTAACTACTAAACAAAACATTTATAGTATTCTAAAATGCTTTCAATTTGTTATCAGAATAGTTTCAAACAGGTTTTAGACAGTTCATGTCAGAAAACATGCACATAGGGTAAGCTTGCAATAATTAGAGTCTTGTTTTCAAAATCTTTAAAAAATTGAAACAGGGGTAGGGGTATAAAATGTACTGTAAAAGGAGACTTAGAGTATATGCAGTGATTTCTTTAAGGCTATAATTCTGATAAATAAGTATTGTTGTGAGAAAAAGTGTTTTTAGAGAGTTTTCTATTTGAATAAATGTTTGTATAGGTTGCACTTTGTAAATACAGCTGTTTCTCAAACCACGCCTCTTTTGGGGAGATATTTAATATTCATAGGTATGTTAATTTGTTAACGTACTGGTTCCCATTGATGATCTCTGTGTTTCATCTCATAGAGACATCACTTGGGAATGTAACCAGTATAAATAAACATGGTAGCGGCTAAATTTTAATTCTTAGGAGGTCCAAAAATGGAGGTAAGGGTAGTATAGAATTTTAGTATAAGTTTAAACTCTTAGAAGTTCAGGGCATATAAATGTTGAAAATATGCCGCACAGCCCTATATTTTGACCTTTGAATAAAATAGTAGTGCATATAAACTTTCCGTTCTGGGATATTATTTTTCACGAAACTTCATAGTAAAAGTGTCACAGTTTTAGCCGCAAAGGGAGTTCCTATGGGAAATTGCATTGTCTGTATTTACAGAATTGCAACCTATATAGGGTTAAAAAATAGAACATACAGAATTTCACAAAATCTGGTTTATCTCAGAGATTTTAAAGAATTTAACTCAAATATGAAGTTTTATAAATATTTCATGAAGATTGAGAAAATCCTGGGCCTTAACTATGATGACTCAGCATAAATTCACAGTTTACAGTATGCATGGTTTACTTAAAGCCCTGAATTCAAAATAAATTCATAATATATGCCTATTTGTAATTTAAATTGTTTAGAAGTGCTTATATTTACTCTTCGCAGTAATTGCAACTCATTGATCCTTCCTAAATATTTCTGGTGGGGTGTTTTTGTCCTGTCGATAACCCAAAAGTAAGCCGTAACGCCTAAATGTGCTTTTTTGTGACTGCGGCATAAAAAAGTACAAGCTAGAATTACAAAAAGACCTCAGTAAAACTTACAATAGTGTGTTCTATCCTAAATATGTCGTAAATATTTCACATTGCTAGAAACAGGGAAAAAAATTAGGAAATGTGAGGCCCCAGGGGCAAAAAACAGAGGAAAATGCCTACCCCTGAGTCATAAAACAGATAATTTAACTTGTAAATGCTATGATTTTTTTATTTTAAAGGTCTTTTATAAAGTAAACAATAACTGTGCTAGGAAGTTATGCAAAAATCAGATGTAAGCAGTCATTTCAATCAAACTTTTAGTGAATTTATGCACCAGACTGATATCTTCATAAATACAACTTTTGCAAATATGCCTTTGTTTAAACACTTCTAGGACATATATTAACTAACTTATGTTAGATATATGGTTAGGGATGATACTGTTGTGACAAGAATTCTAAACTGACCATTTGAGGCAAAAATTGTGAACTTTCATTGACAAATAGGCATACAGTAAGATGTGGACTGGAGACACAGGCAGGATTGGATACTTTGTATAATCTTGAATGTTGGAATGCTTAACTACTAAACAAAACATTTATAGTATTCTAAAATGCTTTCAATTTGTTATCAGAATAGTTTCAAACAGGTTTTAGACAGTTCATGTCAGAAAACATGCACATAGGGTAAGCTGGCAATAATTAGAGTCTTGTTTTCAAAATCTTTAAAAAATTGAAACAGGGGTAGGGGTATAAAATGTACTGTAAAAGGAGACTTAGAGTATATGCAGTGATTTCTTTAAGGCTATAATTCTGATAAATAAGTATTGTTGTGAGAAAAAGTGTTTTTAGAGAGTTTTCTATTTGAATAAATGTTTGTATAGGTTGCACTTTGTAAATACAGCTGTTTCTCAAACCACGCCTCTTTTGGGGAGATATTTAATATTCATAGGTATGTTAATTTGTTAACGTACTGGTTCCCATTGATGATCTCTGTGTTTCATCTCATAGAGACATCACTTGGGAATGTAACCAGTATAAATAAACATGGTAGCGACTAAATTTTAATTCTTAGGAGGTCCAAAAATGGAGGTAAGGGTAGTATAGAATTTTAGTATAAGTTTAAACTCTTAGAAGTTCAGGGCATATAAATGTTGAAAATATGCCGCACAGCCCTATATTTTGACCTTTGAATAAAATAGTAGTGCATATAAACTTTCCATTCTGGGATATTATTTTTCACGAAACTTCATAGTAAAAGTGTCACAGTTTTAGCCGCAAAGGGAGTTCCTATGGGAAATTGCATTGTCTGTATTTACAGAATTGCAACCTATAGGTAAATCGATCACGTCGTGTAAACAATCTGAACGGGTCTCACTAATTAGCGACAAGAAGCGTCAAGAAGCGACAAGAAGAATAAATTTAGCGACAAGAAGCGACAAGAAAACTATTTAGCGACAAGAAAACTTTAAAAAAATATTATTAGAATAAATATATTAAAAAAAATATGCATTGACAGCAATAAAGAGATTTTCATTTTTTTATTATATTGATAGATGAAGAAATTAACGAGTCAAGATAACATTTGGAGGTTTGCCTGTGATCTGAACAATTTCTTTCAACAATAATATATTTATTTTATAAATTTTTTAACACTCTCTTTGTCTAAAATATAATAAACTGACTTCATCAAGTTCATGCAAAATGCATATTATACGTGAATCAGTGTCCAGAAAAGATAATGTTACTAAAACGTGAATATTTTATTTGGGTATTGACTTATCAAACGATATGTATGATGTGTACGCATAGTTTAAAGTTGATTCAAGATTGTTCTAAAACACAAGAACATGTAAAAATTAATATCATACTATGACAGGGAAATTTATCAATATCTATCAATATATTTAAAAAAAAAATGAAAATCACTTTACTTTCCGTATATCAAAATAAAAATGTCAATGCATATTTTTTTAATAATATTTTTATTAAGTTTTCTTGTCGCTAAATAGTCTTCTTGTCGCTAAATTTATTCTTCTTGTCGCTAAAATTCTTCTTGTCGCTAATTAGTGAGACCGATCTGAACTGGTTTGAACTGGTCAAATTTCACCTGGAATTTTATACCGCACGGTAAAGATTTAACAAGTCGTTTAAAACTTTACCGATTTTCGATTTTTTTAACTGAAAATTTTAGCACCACGGAGAAATATAATACATCGCGGTAAGAAGAATACCACCACGGTAAAAAATTATACATCGCGGTCCTTTCAGGCCCTGAGGAGAACACTGTTAATACATGTTTGGATTCAGCATATCAAAGAACCCGAAAAAATTCAGTTTTTGTTACAATCAAACAAAGTTTAATCTTGGACCCTTTGGACTCTACCAATTTGAAAACCGGTCCCAAAATCAAAAATGTAAATACACAGTTACATTCAGCATATCAAAGAACCCCAAGAATTATATTTTTCAAAAATCAAACAAAGTTTAATTTTGGACCCTTTGGACATTAATGTGGACCAATTTGAAGACAGGCCCCAAAATTAAAAATCTAAATACATGGTTAGATTATGCATATCAACGCACACCAATAAATCAATTTTTGATGAAATCAAACAAAGTTAAATTTTGGACACTTTAGACCTAATATAGACCAATTCAAAACCAATAAGAGGCTGTCAGAGTGACAGCAAACCGGATTTTCCTGCTGAGGTCGAACCCTGAACAGTTGAGCAAGTATGGACACAACATTTAAGCTTAAAACAGCCATGAATTTGGATTGTGATTGAATATTTGATACAGCATAGGTTTGTGACACAAAATGTATGTGGTCAAAGAACTAAAAAAATTGAAATTGGACATTTACCTATTATGGTCCAATATCCAAAATCTAAGTTCATTGTTAGAATCAGCTTATCAAAGAACCCCAAAACTTCAATTTTTGATAAAATACTTATTAATTAAAACAATTTCTGTTCAACAGGAAATAACTCAAACTTGTTTCCATGAACCAGTAATGCAAATCTAAAATTAGATATGATTTCACCACTAAAAAATTGTTCTCTAAAATTAGATATGATGTTTTCAAATTATTATCAAATATAATTAATAGTTCCCAATATTTTTTCTTCCATTTGTCACAAACTAATATCTTATCTGCAACTTATCAGTCAATGTCAACAACTTTATCTACACAATGTAATGTAATGAAATATATCCTTTAATAAAAATAGATTATTATCTAATGAAAATGACATTTGCAAATCTGGACACCCAAACAGGATCAAGTAAAAATTTAACATTAACACACACAACAAAAATAAAATACCACATAACAACTGTGACATCTACCTTCAAAACACACATGACTTAAAACTAGAATGGTTAAAGTTAAGCCACCAAAATTCAATTTTGATCTGTGTTTTGTGGTAATAAGCATTGTGTATAAGTTTCATAAAATTTGGTTGAGGCAAACTTAAGTTAGAGAACGAAAACCAACTTTGGGACGTACGGACAGACGTACGTACAGAAGGACAAGGGTAAAACTTAATGCTCCCTCCACTACGGCGGGGGCATAACAATAGTTATAAATTTCTGACAACTCCTGACTAATCAATTGAACATAACCAATCATTGATAGACTATCTATACATCTCAGCTATACATAAACTTATAAATTTCTGTTCAAAGGGAAATTACTCATTCAAATAATAAGTAAATTTCTGGTTTCTAAAAGGGTCCAAAATTCAAGAACGAGAAAAGTTTAAGTCGTGAAAATTGAACTTGACCTTCTTTTAGTCACAGGAAACAACATATCAAAATTTGAAAAAATTTCATCGAAGTGTTTTCATGTAAATGAACGGACAATGTATGGCAGCCGCCCGCCCACCGTACATCCCCAAGTCAATAACTGATTTATCCTTCAAAAATCTGGTTAAAAATCCAAATTCTTAATACAGCGTTAGATTCAGCATATTAAAAAACCCCAAGAATTCAAGATTTTGTATTAAATAAACCCCATTGAAATTGGTCAAGAAATAAGCAATTTATACCCAGTGTTACAAATGTATTGTTTATGGCCCCTTTTTCCTAAACGGTTAGAGTCATGACCCCCAAAACCAATCCAAACCTTCCTTTTATGGTATGGAACCTTGTGGTACAATTTCATAGCGATCCATAGACTTATACTCAAGTTATTGTCCAGAAACCAGAAAATCCTAGTTTTTTGGCCCCTTATTCCTAAACAGTTTGGGCCATGACCCCCCAAATCAATCACCAACCTTTCTTTTGAGGTATAGAACTTTGTGGTAAAATTTCATAGATATCCATACACTAATACACAAGTTATTGTCCTGAAACAAGAACAATGCTTGTTTTTGTCCCCTAATTCCAAAACAGCTAGGACAATAACCCCCAAAATCAATCCCAACCTTCCTATTGTGATATGGAACCTTGTGCTACAATTTCAAAGAGATCCATACACTTATACTCAAGTTATTGTCTGGAAACCAAAATGTCTTCTGAAGACAAAGAAAAATGCTTGTTTTTGGCCCCTTTTTGGCACCCAATTCCTAAACGGTTTGGGCCATGACCCCCAAATCAATCACCAACCTTCCTTTTGAGGTATAGAACCTTGTGGTAAAATTTCATAGAGATCCATACACTAATACACAAGTTATTGTCCTGAAACAAGAACAATGCTTGTTTTTGTCCCCTAATTCCAAAACAGCTAGGACAATAACCCCCAAAATCAATCCCAACCTTCCTATTGTGATATGGAACCTAGTGCTACAATTTCATAGAGATCTATACACTTATACTCAAGTTATTGTCTGGAAACCAGAATGTCTTCTGCAGACAAAGAAAAATGCTTGTTTTTGGCCCCTAATTCCTAAACGTTTGGGGCCATGACCCCCCAAATCAATCACCAACCTTCCTTTTGAGGTATAGAACCTTGTGATAAAATTTCATAGAGATCCATACACTAATATACAAGTTATTGCCTGGAAACCAAAATGTCTTCGGACGACAAATGTCTTCTGACGACGACATCGCCATAACATAATACGAATGCAAAAATTTTATGGTCTTATAATCTGCTCATTCCACATTATTCTAGTATCAAAATATTATCATTATATAAAGATTAATACATGGCCTTATCCATATTAACTCAACTATTACCCCTTGACCAATATCAGCCTGAGTTGATATAGAATAGGCCATGTATTCAGTGTGTTTCATATACTTCTGATCTACAAATGTACCCAGGCTGACAACCCTGCATTAACTGACTTTATCGCACCGCCGGTAAATTATTATGTTGTGATTGGTTTAACGCCGTCATGTGGCGACCCCCTATGGATCCGTAGGGGGTTAGTAAATTTCATAGTGGGTTCATGACGTCACGGCTACTGTTAATGGTGACGTCATCTATTGCTGTTTTTGTATTTCATTGTTTATTTTTCTACAAAACGCTGCAGAAAAAGTATCGCGTGCGATAAATTCGTTATACGGTTCACTACTGACCCCCTACAGACCATAGAGGGTGAATAAAATCCATAGGGGATTCGGCCTTCGGCCTCACCCCCTATGGATTTTACTAACCCTCTATGGATCCGTAGGGGGTCAGTAGCGAACCATATAACTTATAATGTGAAGTCATGCCTGGCTGATAAGCACTTGAAAATGTATATTTTATTCTGTTGATTTGAAAAATGCCTTTCATCTTTAGTATCATTGCATATGCAGAACTGGACATGCTCGGTATATGATAAAGAAGCTTCTTTTTATATTACATATATATGCTTAGTATCCAAGAAATAACTATCATTTTTATATTACATATATGTAACAGCAAGTTGCATCATTTTAAAGTAGGTAATCCATGAAATTTAAATTTCTTATTAAATTTCATTTTTCCCTCAATCCAAGAAAAATGGTAAACATAGAATAAATGAATCCAAACTATTCTGAGTTCAAGGTCATCTTCAAGTTCACAAAGAACTAGAATCAGGTGTCTTAGGAATGTCCTCTACGGTAACAATCTTGTCCAAAGATGATGTGTGAGTATTTAATGTCATCAGTTGTGTGTAAACTGGAGAAAGATCAATTTCAAGTCCCACTAATACAAATACTCCAGAAACTGTAAAAAAGTGAAAATAAGCAATAACTCAAATGTTAAAATAAATTATGATTATTTCTTACTAATGACTAAAACAATATATTTTTATAATAACAACACCTATTGCTCTTAATGAAATACCATGAAGACTTTTGAGGAATTTTAGAGCCAATACTGACCCTTTGTGAACCTTTGTTCAACAAGAGTGCACATGCTGAAATGTCTCACCTGCTTTACTTATCATGTCAGATTGAATTTATGTTGAAAGCCTATAATATGAAGTTTTAACTACAAGTTTCAAATAGAATTAACAGTATCAATGATCAATTTCATACATCAAATACAGTTAACCTATTGTTTATATTATTTGATAAACAGACAAAACCATGAAAACTCAACATTGACCAATGAACCATGAAAATAAGATCAAGGTCAGATGAATCCTGCCAGACAGACATATACATTTTACAATCATTCTATACACCAAATATAGTTGACCTAGTGCTTATAGCAAATGAAAAATAGACCAAATCAGAAAAAAATAACATTGACCAATGAATCATGAAAATGAAGTCAAGGTCATATGAAACTTGCCAGTCAGACAAATGGTACACATTACAATCATTCCATACACCAAATATAGTTGACCTATTGCTTATAGTATCTGAGATACGGACTTGACCAGGTAAACTTAACCTTAACCGCGGGTTCATTAAATGTGGTTGAGGTTAGGCGAACCCTGTCTGACGACATGTTCACCTTCCAAGGAACCCATGTACCAAATATAGTTATCCTATTAAGTGAGAAATTCACATGACAAAAACACCATAATTTTTTTACAAGCAGTCGCTGAACCTTGAAAATGTGGTCAAGAACAATTGTATACAAGGAATGAAGCATCCAGGTCTTCTACCTTCTGAAATATAAAGCTTTAAACAAATAGTTTACGCCATCGCCATCACAAGCAAGACAAAAATCATCATTTAGGAGAATCAACTGAAGGTTTCAATCATTTGATTGATTTGTCTTGCTGATCAAAGTTTCTCTCTTTAACAAGATCTACTATAGTTTCTGCAAAAAAATAAATGGGGAATGTGTCCCTGGGACACAGATAATGACCCAGCTTGCATATAACATTATAAAGGGACATAACTCAAGAACGGTAAAAGTGACGCTACCCACTCGTACTTGATCTAAGTTTTGTGGTAATAAGCATTGTGTATAAGTTTCATAACATTTGGTTGAGGCTGGGAACAGTATATCTAACGGGAAATGAATCTGATACGCTTTTCAGTATAAAATTGATAAAATCTCGGACTCCCCGAGACTTCCCGAGATTTACGGATTTTGGTAGCGTCTGACTGAAAAACTATCAGAACTGCTCAACAAATAAACCACATAACTCTAATTGTAAATAAATACAAGTTTTATCATTTAGTAGATATATTTTGTCATATAACATTACCAAAATAAGTTTGATTTATTTGATGTGAAGTGTTTTATAATAGTTTGGGAATTTGTAAATCATCGCGGCAATGGCCGCCATTTTTTTTATTACCTTTTTTGCATTCTGCACAATTCTGTGATGAAATGCTTGCGATTTTAACAAATTTGAATTGACAGAATACAAGTTTGATACACTAGTATCACTATAAAACTAGTTTGAATGACATTTTATTGGTAATATCAGAAATTATTAGGATAATAGCGAGTCCGTTTTTAACACATGTCCGTTTCTGTATCGTATCTTTATTAACTATGGCACGACGATAAAATCGACTACAATCAGGTAGTGTCAAGTCCCGTCAATATATATGTTCCTGGTTGAGGCAAATTTAAGTTAAGAGAACGGAAACGAAAAATTCAGCAATTTTTCCATTTGTAAAGGGACATAACTCTAGAACGGTAAAAGTGACTTTATTCAAATTCGTACTCAATCTGAGTTTTGTGGTAATAAGCATTGTGTATAGGTTTCATAACATTTGGTTGAGGCAAACTAAAATTAGAGCATGGAAACCAATTTCGGGATGTACGTACAGATATACAGATGTAAGATAGGAGTAAAAATAAACTATTCCCAACTAAGTTTGCATTTAATCTGTTCAGTATTTGTAACATAATGCTTACCTTTTTTATAAAAAGAGTTAAAAATATTCAAATAATTCACAGTCTAACTCAAATTGTGACTCTTACCTCAAAGAGCAAAATACATCTAACTAAAACTTTAATCCAAACTTCAACTCAAATATAGCTCAAACTGAAATTTTTACTGAAATAAACATTTGCCTGTTTCCTACAGAATGCAAATTAAACCAAGAGATCAGGTATCTTAAATGAATGTTATAAACAAGAAAATGCGTCCATAAGGCACCATCCCCTCTCACACTTAACTGGGAAATCAGGGTCCAAACTCAGCAAATACATTTTTAAAATTTCACATCATAATGAATATAATACTCTTTTTATTTAAGTCAATGTGCTGTGCTGCTGTATTAATGATAAGCAACTGTATATCAGGTTAAATGTCTATCACCAGCATAATGGAGATTGGAAAAGCACAAAAATTTCCTAAAACATACGTTTTTTTTATCTGTGTATATCAACTTGAGGTTGTGAAATGACATGCAGATGTAAACATCCTTGTCCATTGGTATTCATTGAAAAGTTTTCTGATTTGAAATCATACCATATCTTCTAATTTTTATATTATAACTATGAAAGAGCAGTTTTTACATACCAGAAGTCTTCTCAGCCTGATAAGCACAGTAAATGTTTAGTAATGATAAAATATCATCTTCATTTCCTTGTCCAAACATATCATTAGGCCACACTGATCTACAAAACAAAAATAAATAATGGTTTGATTTTTAGGCATCCTAAAATAAATTATCAGTATGTCTTCACTGACCATTTAATCATTACTTCTCACTATCAAGTTTATTTATTTAAGAGGGGAGAAAACAGATCATGTTAATATTGTCCTGTGAAATAGTCTCTCATCGGACAAAATCTTGTCCTGTGAAATAGTCTCCCATCGGACAAAATATTGTCCTGTGAAATAGTCTCCCATCAGACTCATGAATATCTATTATCATATTTTATCCATCTATGAATTAATATCCATAGAAGGACAATTTTCTGTATGATATTTTGTCTATATATAAACGATATTTCATAAATTTATAATAAATATATTATAAAAGAACAGAGTTCCAATGTCCAATGTCCCCTGCATTGCACATATTTTATCTATCCAAGAGCAATAACTAAAAAAGCAATTTATAAATATCTTAGAGAAATGAAGGCTTCAGAGTAAATGCAATACGATTTCCATTATAATTAATTTTTCCAAGGAGCATAACTCGTTAAAAATATTTGATCAGTACTTATATATGAAAGAGTCAAAGACATTGTTGATATAAACCCATGATATAAGTTTCATAAAATTCTGGCAAGAATTGTACACATGAGAGCCCTAACAATGCAATTTTCCATATAATCAATATTTTTCTCTTTTAAAAATAATTGATCGGCACGAATTATCAAATTCGTCTGAGACATTGATGATATAAACCTATAATACAAATTTCATAAAAATCTGGCAAGAATAGTACACATGAGAGTGCTAACAATGCAATTTTCTATATAATCAATATTTCCAAGGGGCATAACTCTTTTAATATAAATGGGGAATGTGTCCATGGGACACAGATGATGCCCCCGCTTGCATATCATATAAAGTTATTAAGGGACATAACTGAAGAACGGTAAAAGTGACGCTACCCAAATTTGTTATTAATCTGAGTTTTGTAGTAATGAGTATTGTGTATAAGTTTCATAACATTTTGTTGAGGCAAATTTAAGTTAAAAGAACGGAAAAGAAAAATTCAGCAATTTTTCCATTTTAAAGAATCAACTGAAGGTTTCAATCATTTGATTGATTTGTCTTGCTGATCAAAGTTTCTCTCTTTAACAATATCTACTAGTTTCTGCTAAAAAATAAATGGGGAATGTGTCCCTGGGACACAGATAATGCCCCAGCTTGCATATAACGTTTTAAAGGGACATAACTCAAGAACGGTAAAAGTGACCCTACCCAAATTCTTACTTGATCTGAGTTTTGTGGTAATAAGCATTTTGTATAAGTTTCATAACATTTGGTTGAGGCAAATTTAAGTTAAGAGAACGGAAACGAAAAATTCAGCAATTTTTCCATTTGTAAAGGGACATAACTCTAGAACAGTTAAAGTGACGCCACCAAAATTCTTACTTGAACTGTGTTTTGTGGTAATAAGCATTGTGTATAAGTTTCATAACATTTGGTTGAGGCAAACTAAAGTTAGAGAATGGAAAACAACTTTGGGATGTACAGACATATGTACGTACAAACGGAAAAGGGTAAAACTTAATGCCCCCTCCGCTACAGCTGGGGCATAAAAACGAGCATACAGGACTAAGTTTAGTATATATGCATGCATTGGATCAGTAATTTCGATAACATTAAAATTACATGAAACTCGTTTCATATGACTTTAAACTGACCTAATCACAAACTTTAACAAATTGTTGACTCTGCCAAGGACTCCAATGAAGTTTCTTGCCTTAGTAATGCCTCTGCAAATTCATTGAGGCAAGACAAAAATTGAGACTGACGAATTTTGAAGTTGGTATTTTCAAAAAGCAAAAAAAGATTTGAATTTTGAACAGGAGGGATGAGAGAGTGGCTTTTTATATTCTTACATTATTTCAGTCTTAAAATTACTTCTGTATTTCATTCTTATTTTTAATATAGATGTATTACTTTGGTATGCAGTAAGATACAGCTCCTGTCATTTTTAATGGCAGTTTAAGACATACCTGAATGCTCTTACTAATTGCACAGCCTTCACATATTGCTGTCCTGAGATATACTCCAATAAATTCTTCACAGCCTCTTGTTTTGTGACTGGTTTTGATGAATCAATATTAATAGGTGATACTTGTCCGTTCTCCAACTCCTCTAATGCATGATTCAATTGTTCTTTGAGAGAACAGAGCTGTAAAGAAATATCTGCTACCTGAAAGATTAAGCATCTTATTCATAATTATTTTTTTCTATTTAAATTTAAATAAGAAGTACTTCCTTGTATAAGCAGTCACTAAAATTCTTTTAGATTTTTTAATATCTTATTATTTTCTACTTTTTTTTTCATATTTCTCAAGCTTTATCATGACAATGTTTCTATCAAAATCTTCAGAATTGACATAATCGGTATTTATCTGACAAAATATTATTTTTGCTTTGCTATGTTTTATGTTCAGTAATTAAAAATTACTTGGAAAAAATACTTTTGCAGTAAAATTACATACACACAGTTATTCTTTGAATTCTGAACTTAGTGAAGAGAGTGATAACACCTTATGTTTTTGGCTCAAGATCAATTTGATGCCAGTTTGTTCCTGTCTAATATTGCCCCATTACGATGAATTAAACAGCTAAGTAGCTCTTAGGATTTTTTTTTATTTGATATTAATACAATACAAATACTTTATTGTCATATTGTGAAAAAAAAAAAAAAACTGTGAGAGAAAAACAAAACTGTGTAAACAGATCCCTCAACAGTAAGTAGGCTAAAAATCTATCAAATATACAATAAAGAATACCCTGTCCTCTGTTCTAATTCCTGTTTAATAAAGGAACCTTTGCCTTCTACTTCTTCTGGATTTTCTCATTCTCATTGAAATGAAAAAATATCAGACATAATTGTTGATACTTTCAAGTAAAACCAAAAAATGATCCTAACCCTTAAAATGAACCTTACAAGAGGTCATTGCACCTGTACAGTGAATACATGACAAGTCTGACAACTCAGATCAATCTTAAATAAATTTAGACAAAAGACAAATAGGTTCCATTTGAAAGACAACTTGGACCACTTATGAAGGCAACACTGAAAAGTTTGAAAGACTACTAGGACCACTTATCATAACTTGTAGGTAATGTGACTACTAGGACCACTATTTACAAATTGCAGGCGATCTGACTACTAGGACCACTAATTACAACTTGTAGGCGATCTGACTACTAGGACCACTCATTATAATTTGTAGGCGATCTGACTACTAGGACCACTAATTACAACTTGTAGGCGATCTGACTACTAGGACCACTAATTTCAACTTGTAGGCGATCTGACTACTAGGACCACTAATTACAACTTGTAGGCAATCTGACTTCTAGGACCACTAATTACAACTTGTAGGCGATCAGACTTCTAGGACCACTAATTACAACTTGTAGGCGATCAGACTTCTAGGACCACTCATTATAACTTGTAGGCGATCTGACTACTAGGACCACTAATTACAACTTGTAGGCAATCTGACTACTAGGACTTCTTATTACAACATGTAGGCGATCTGACTACTAGGACCACTAATTACAACTTGTAGGCGATCAGACTTCTAGGACCACTCATTATAACTTGTAGGCATTCTGACCACTACGACCACTTATTACAACTTGTAGGCGATCAGACTTCTAGGACCACTCATTATAACTTGTAGGCAATCTGACTACTAGGGCCACTAATTACAACTTGTAGGCGATCTGACTTCTAGGACCACTCATTATAACTTGTAGGCGATCTGACTACTAGGACCACTAATTACAACTTGTAGGCAATCTGACTACTAGGACTTCTCATTATAACTTGTAGGCGATCTGACTACTAGGGCCACTCATTATAACTTGTAGGCAATCTGACTACTAGGACTTCTCATTACAACTTGTAGGCGATCTGACTTCTAGGACCACTCATTATAACTTGTAGGCGATCTGACTACTAGGACCACTAATTACTACTTGTAGGCGATCTGACTACTAGGACTTCTCATTACAACTTGTAGGCGATCTGACTTCTAGGACCACTAATTGTAACTTGTAGGCCATCTGACTACTAGGACCACTAATTACAACTTGTAGCGACCAGACTTCTAGGACCACTTATTACAACTTGTAGGCGATCAGACTTCTAGGACCACTCATTACAACGTGCAGGCCATCTGACTATTAGGACAACTTATTACAACATATAGGCGATCAGACTTCTAGGACCACTCATTATAGCTTGTAGGCGATCTGACTACTAGGACCACTCATTATAACTTGTAGGCGATCTGACTACTAGGACCACTAATTACTACTTGTAGGCGATCTGACTACTTGGACCACTAATTACAACTTGTAGGCGATCTGACTAATAGGACCACTAATTATAACTTGTAGGAGATCTGACTTCTAGGTCAACTCATTACAACTTGTAGGCGATTAGACTTCTAGGACCACTCATTATAACTTGTAGGCAATCTGACTACTAGGACCACTAATTACAACTTGTAGGAGATTAGACTTCTAGGACCACTCATTATAACTTGTAGGCAATCTGACTACTAGGACCATTAATTACAATGGTGATCTGGCTTATGAAACAACAAACATATATAAATGTGTTTTATATTTCCATTGCATTAAAGATGTATTCTTCTGAAGTTTCAGTCTCGTTGAAATCTCGTTCTGGAATTATTTCCCAAACATGTGATACAAGTGGAAAATAGCAATGAATTTAATAAATATCATAATCAAACTTAACTTTGTGAAAAAATTGTGTATTTACAATAAGCAGTTTTTGAGTAATAAATTTTTCAAATTTTATTATCAATCAAGTCAGTCTTTTTAACCAAAATTTTGAGAAATGGGTGAGGGGTACAAGAAATGATTTTACCAGAAACATATACATCCCATATCACTTTTTTCTTTTCAAATTTCTTAGATATGTATTTTTTTCAATCATTTATAACAAAGAAGTTGAAATAATATGCATTCTGTTCTTAAAACAGAGAAAAATCCCAAATTGACAAAATTGACAGCATGGTAAATTTGACACGAAAAAGCATCAAAATATGATAAAACTTTCTTATATTAACACCTACCTATAGTTTTTTTAGATTAAATTTATTCAGATTGGTCCAATTCATCTTTATTGAAAGTATGAAAAAAAGTTTAATTGTGGAACTGTGATTTTTTTCACGATACAAGCCCAAAAATGGGTAAAAATTGATGAAAAATGGGAAAATCATCAAAATTGGGTACTTTCAAAGGGCCGTAGCAAAAAAAGAAGTGCACCACCATATGATTTTTTCTTCACCAATTATTTTTGTACAGTCTTATAAACCCAAAAATCAGGTTAAGAAAAAAAGTTTAATTCTAGAAATTTTTGGCTCCTCAGAGGTGTACATCCTTAAAGATATTGGTTGTTATACTTATTTGATGGATGTATCTGTTCATGTGATTGTGATTTTTAATTAAAGTAATAAATTTAGTTTAGCAACTGGGGGCACTTTCGTGAAAATCATCAGGATGGACATTTTGATCATATACAACTCTAAGTTACCTTTTCAAACACATGTGATACAATCAGTCAAAAAATTAATCTGAATAAAGAAAACTTTAACCACTGACTGTATCTAAATGTTAACTGCAACAAAAGAATCTCCCATACGAAATAAGTAGTAGGATTCCACCTAGACACTAGTAGGAATGTAGTAGGAATCCACCTAGAATCAAAGATTATATATAGAAAGTAGGTGGACATGGAAAATGAACAAAATTCTGACTGGATTTTTTATTTTCTCCACTTGCAAAATCCTACCATCTAGCTGGAATTTTAAAAGTCTGTATGGATTTTTTTCTGTTTTGAAAATCTTAAGTGGGAATTTGGACAGAAAATATGATAAGATTATTCATTTTCCTACTACAAGATTCCTACCAGAATTAATTTATCCCTACTAGAAAATCTTTCTACATGGAATCTTTTTAATTATCTTAAACTTGATTCTTGTTTGCTAATGACACAAATTTTGCTGTGTTAAATGCAAACAAGTTCCAGTTCACAAATTCAAAAGTTGAAGGGTAGAAGAATGAAAAGTTGTGTTGGAACACAATATGCTGCAAGGGTTAAACAACTACAATATTGAAATAGGAGAAAATATGGCTCATGTAGATTGAAGGGAAATTTTATACTTTTAAGATGAAATTTTTTATCTGTTTGCCAATATATTTAGTATTCAGTTAATTCAACAATAGTGCATAATTTTACTTATTAATTTTTCATAATTTTTAATTTCAACTTAGAATCAACATTTTTACCCATCTACATATATGTTTGGATATATCACAGCTTCCTCATACATTTCAAAAGTCAACTTTTTTTAAATGAATATATTCCATATATACAATATTCCTACTAAGAAATTCCTGCTAATTTAAATATTTCGGCTATTTTCCGTGTGGATTCCTACTACTGTCTGACTAGAATATCACTCTTTTCTGGTAGGAATTCATTGCAATATTCCTACTATATTATGTGTACATTCTGTGTGGAATATTTCATACAGGTTAACTCAATTTATCATTAAAATGGAAAAAAATGTTAAAAATGTGAGCACAGACTGTACAAACCTGACAGCCTCCTAGGTATCTTTTAACAAATAGTTATAAGGGTTCAGAGCAGGTTTATTTCTTAATATAATAAATACTTAGAGACAGTAGAAGTTCTTACAATTTGTGGTATGAAGTATTCCTATGATTGAGTTTTCTATACCAAAAATTTATCAATAAGTCCAATCTATCTAATATTACCTGTGGTGAGCCTTCCAAAGACCTAAATATATCCATCACCTTTACATAATTCTCAAACAGCAGTATGAGCTGAAATATTAAACTGTACAATCTCCGACATAAATCTAGTTTCTGAAATGTAACAAATAGTTTATAGTCATAGGATACAAACAAAAAGTGTACATATGAAATCACAGAGAAATAAGGCAGAAAGAAAAGGTAAGAATTTAAAAGTAAGTCTTCAAAGAAAATTTTTAGATACATGGTTTATCAACTGTATGTCATTTGGGAGATCTACAATTCAACTGAAAGCCAGAACAAACTTTCTCTTATGATAGTATATGAGCTTCGTCCGATGAAAATCAACCTTATGCGAATGAATATCAATACATCTGTTAACTTATTTCGGGTTGAAGCTCTCTATAAATAATTTATGCCATCCTCATCGCAAGTGAGACAAAAAACCAACACCTTAAATTGATAACATATGTATGATGAAACCTAAACCAACTAAATAGGGTTAGCCATGCATGCATGGCAAAGGAGGTTAGCTAGTTAATACTGAAATATTAGTGAAAGTAAACTAAACTTTAGCCATGCCCGCATGGCTAATCCTATTTAGGTGGGTTAGTTTTCATCATACATTTCATATCAATTTTCCAAAATTCAAAATTATTCCAGATTCCAATATTTCCTTGTTTTAATTTATTTAACAACAATAAAGGTAAAACAATCATGACAGACAGCAACCCAAGACAAATATTATTGAAATATGTTTCAAGTAAACCACTACAAAGATTTAATAAAAGTAATGCATGCTCACCTGTTCTTCATTAGACACAGCTGTTGAAGTTCCACCATCACCTAAAGACTGTTGTTTTATTGTTGACTTTATCAATTCAAGGCTCTAAAATAGTTAATAATTTAAGCATTGATTTTCAAATGTTTGAATTTGTTTCTAACCATACATAGCTCTCATTTATAACAAATGACTAGAGGCTCTCAAGAGCCTTTTGGAAATCATGTAAAAATAGATTGAAATCATAACAGATACCCTAATAATGATTGAGGCCAAATTTGGTTTAATATTGGCCCTGTTATTTAATCAAAAGCAGCAGACTTTTGTAAAGTTTACAGAAATTACCAATAAATTCATTGAAATTGTAGAAAATGACTTTATAAGGACAATAACTCTAACAAGATGTCAATTGACAATTTTGCTCATGTTGACTTATGTGTAGATCTTCTTTTCTTGATATTTTTGCAGTTTACAGTATATCTCAATCTATAAAGATACATGTATTAAGGTCTTCACCAGCACATCATAAGGAACATTTATGCCATGTTTGGTTTCATTCCATTCAAAGCTCCTCTAGAAGAAGCATTTGTATGTATTTCCCATAGGGTCTTATGTTAAACTAAGTCCCCTGCTGGCGGCCATCTTGGATGATGGTTCCGCTACAAAGTAACAACACTTGGTCAGCACCTCATTAGGAACATTCATGCCATGTTTGGTTTCATTCTATTCAGTGGTTCTGTAGAAGAAAACATTTGTATGTATTTCCCATAGGGTCCTATGTTAAACTTACTCCCAGTGCTGGCAGCCATCTTGGATGACAAATCAGTAACAAAGTAACAACACTTGGTCAGCACCTCAAAAGAAACATTCATACCATGTTTGGTTTCAATCCATTGAGCGGTTTTCTAGAAGAGGACATTTGTATATATTTCCCATAGAGTCCTTTGTTAAACTAAGTCCCCCGTTGGCAGCCATCTTGGTTGATGGATTTGCTACAAAGTAACAACACTTGGTCAGCATCTCATTAGGAACATTCATGTCATGTTTGGTTTCATTCCATTCAGTGGTTCTTCAAAAGAAGACTTTTGTATGTATTTCACATAGGGTCCTTTGTTAAACTAAGTTCCCCGCTGGCAGCCATCTTGGATAATTGATTGGCTAAAAAGTAACAACACTTGGTCAGCCACCAATTAGGAACATTCATGCCATGTTTGGTTTCATTCCATTCAGTGGTTCTCTAAAAGAAAACATTTGTATGTATTTCCCATAGGGTCCTATGTTAAACTAAGTCCCTGCTGGCGGCCATCTTTGATGATTGATCGCCTACAAAGTTACAACACTTGGTCAGTACCTCATAAGGAACATTCATGCCATGTTTTATTTCATTACATTTAGTGGTTCTCTAAAAGAAGACATCTGTATGTATTTCCTGTAGGGTCCTATGTTAAACTAAGTCCCTTTCTGGTGGCCATCTTGGATGATGGATCGGCTTCAAAGTTACAACACTTGGTCAGCACCTAATAAGGAACATTCATGCCATGTTTGGTTTCATTCCATTCAGTGGTTCTCTAAAAGAAGACATTTGTATGTATTGTCCATAGGGTCCTATGCTAAACGAAGTCCCCAGCTGGCGGCCATCTTGGATGATGGATCGGCTTCAAAGTAACAACACTTGGTCAGTAACCTCAAAAGGAACATTCATGCCATGTTTGGTTTCATTCCATTCAGTGGTTCTCTAGAAGAAGTTCAAAATGTAAAAAGTTAACGACGACGACGAAAGACGCCAATTAGTGATGAGAAAGGTTCGCTTGGCCCTCTGGGCCAGGTGAGCTAAAAATGTGTTTTAAAATAACATAAACTGTACCAATTTTACTGCACCAGATGTGCATTACGACAATTAATGTTTCTTCAGTAATGCTTGAGGCCAAAATGTTTGAAAATCCGGAGAAGGAATCAGAGCTTTGCATGAGATGCATTAAGATGCTAACACAAAGTCTTTCAAACCCAATGCTTGGATAAATGACATAATTAATCGTTTCCATCCCTCTTGAACCCCAGTACATATTAAAACATCTGCAAAAGGAGCACATCATCTGCATACTGAAATTGTTGCAAGAATAAAATCAAATATTGTAGAAGGCATTCAGTAAGAAGTATGCATAAAAGGCACTGCAGAAAATTCCTTTTGGGTATAAGGGTACTAATAAACTTCAATGGTTAAAGTTACACAACTTTGGAAAAGAAAATCTAAAATGTCAAAATATCAAAACTTTCAGCAGTCAAAACAACAGTGTAAAGTTTCAAGTAAAATGATCCATATATGCTTCAGCTAGTGCACAACTTGTAAAAATTGCTTTAAACCAGTTTGCACAGAATGTGTCATAAACTATGGAGCATGGTTTATAATGAACATTTGAATATATGGAAATATACAATGGGAAAATGTGAAAAAAATCTTTAAACAGCTCCTTAATGAAAAGTGCACAAACTAAAAAGGTTTGTAGGTCAAAAGATCTTGGTTGAAAACAAAATTTGGTACCATCTTATGAAAATTTTGCTTAAGAATGACTTAGTTGCAAGTATGGAAAATTGGGAAAAAATTCATCTAACAATTTCATAAAGACACGTACACAACTTCAATATGTGTGCAACCTATCTGTGTAGTTTCAAGGATCGGAGTTAAAAACTGAAGAAGAATTTGATTAAACAAACAAGAGGCTCCTATGAGCTCACCTGGAATGTTTTGTGTAGACCTTGCATCAAAGATTATTTTGCTGTTTAAAGTCATATGAAACAAGTTTCTTGTAATTTTAATGTTCAGGATATTATTGAACCAATGCATGCATATATACTAAACTCAGTCCTCTATGCACGTATTTTAAATTTATTACGAATTTATGATGTACTATCAACAAATAATATTTCATTCAGTGATTGTTGATCACAAGCTAATAAAAGAACAGAGTTCCAATGTCTCCCGTGTTGCACATATTTTATCTATCCAAGTTACAAGGGCAATAACTAAAAAAACCTTTTTATTTGTTGTTCTTTAAAACCTTTTTTAAATATCTTAGAGAAATGAAGGCTACAGAGCAAATGCAATGCGATTTACGTTATAATTAATATTTCCAAGGGGCATAACTTGTTAAAAATATTTGATCATCACTTATTTTTGAAAGTGTCAAAGACATTTCTGATATAAATTTCATAAAATTCTGGCAAGAATTGTACACATGAAAGCGCTAACAATGCAATTTTCCATATAATCAATATTTCCAAGGGGCATAACTTTTTTAAAAATAATTGATCGGCACTTATTTTTTAATGTTATCGAGACATTGATGATATAAACCTATAACATAAATAACATAAAAATCTGGCAAGAATTGTACACATGAAAGCACTAACAATGCAATTTTCCATATAATCAATATTTCAAAGGGGCATAATTCTTTTAAAAATAATTGATCGGCACTGATTTTCAAACTCTTCAAAGACTTTGCTGATATAAACCTATGATATAAGTTTCATAAAATTCTGGCAAGGATTGTACACACGAGAGCACTAACAATGTTATTTTACATAGTATTACTGTTTCCAAGAGGCATAACTCTTTTAAAAATAATTGATCGGCACTGATTTCGAACTCTTCAAAGACATTGCTGATATAAACCTATGATAAAAGTTTCATGAAATTCTGGCAAGAATTGTACACACGAGAGCACTAACAATGTTATTTTACATATAATTACTGTTTCCAAGGGGCATAACTCTTTTAAAAATAATTGATCGGCACTGATTTTCGAAACTCGTCCAAGACATTGCTGTTATAAACCTAAGATAAAAGTTTCATAAAAATCTAGAAAGAATTGTACAACAATGCGTTGCACGGGGGACAATTAACTATTGATAAACAATTAACCCAGAGTCGTAGAGCATGTGGTAAATAAGTGAATTGATAGAGCCAGATAAAAAACATTTATATTTTTCATGCGCTCCCATCTGTTAATTAAATAACCTTAACAGTTGTTAATTGATTTGGAGTATTCAATTTGGTCTGTAAGAATGAATAATTACTATTTACCTTCCAGTGACATTTGTTTATATTCTTTTAATACGGCTTTTCCCTTGCACTTGCGCTGTGCAGGTGCTGAAGTTCTAACAAGAGGTCTCGTAGTTAAGGTCATTGCATACGGAAAAATATCGGCGAATTAGTGTAAGGGAAGAAAATAATTCATTGGCAGTACATTTCTGAATATTTTAATAAGATAAAGGATTTCCTTTCACAAAAAAGTCCACGTACACTTGTTTAAAGTAAAACATATTCAACTTTTTTTTTAATTTGAAGTATCATAGGACTGTAATGTATATAAATGCATGTTTAAACATGCCTTTAAAAGATTCTCTGTTTAATTGTTCTTTGATCATGACAGTTGTCAATTATACTGATATTGTATCTAATACTCTTACTAAATCAAAAAGACAAAACTAGCCAGTAAAAATCAAAAAAAGTAAAGACTATTATTCTTGAAAAAATACTCTTAATTAAGATGTTACAAATTTTTTTACAGTTCATTTCTGCATATGTACGCAGACATGAGAACAATTGGGAACTCTGTCAGTGTGTATAGATTTAGTTACTGATTTAGTTGCAAATCTGTCTACTTTCTGTTTGAGAAGCCAGTGCCTTAGGAAAGAATTGCACAAATGAGAGCTCTAACAAGAACAAGAACAATTCCAATCTTTCCAAAAATTTAACATCCAAAAAAAGATCCATGAAAATGAGGTCAAGGTCAGATGGTACCTACCAGACAGGCATGTTCACTAACACTCATTCCATACATCAACTATAATTGACCTATTGCTTATTGAAATTGAAAATAGTTCAAAACAGAAAAACTTAACATTGACCAAGAACCATGAAAATGAGGTCAAGGTCAGACGATACCTACCAGACAGACATGTACACCTTACAATCTTTCTATACACTAAATATAGCTGACCTATTGCCATTAGTATTCAAAAAACAGATTAAAACACAAAAACTTACAATTGACCAATGAACCATGAAAATGAGGTCAAGGTCAGATGATATCGGCAAGACCGAC